AAGTTGCTGCTTTAGTCTCTGAGCTTCACTCACCAGTTTGATCTTCTTGTCTTTGCTCTCTGAGGCTTCGGCCTCCAGCAGCTCCTTCTGCAGCTTCTCCTCAGCCTTCTTCCACTGCACACACACACACACACACACATACAATTAAACACGGTAACACACAATACGTGCGTCATGTGACCACGGTTTTGACGTGCTGATGAGCAGTCCTCTAACGAGTCACCAGTGGACTGTTCTGACGTCATCACGCTACAGCATCAGTGACTGTTTCTGGGGTTCACACATTATTGGTCTGTTGGTCACAAACACAAACGTCCAGTCAGGCTTCACACCTGATGACCTCATAGCTACCTTCCTCTGCATCCTGGACAGGTTCTTCTTCTTCTCTTTGTTGTTCATGAACTTCTTCTTCGGTGCCGTGGCCTCCATGTCCTTCTTCATCTCCACCTCCTTGATCCTCAGACTCAGCAGCGTCCGCAGCACCTGAAGGTCACATGATGTGTTGAAATGTCCCGTTTAACCCACCTGACACGGTTTGGGTGCGTTTGATTCGTTACCTCAGGCCTGACATTGTAGTTGAGGCCCTTCACGAGGCCGGAGATAACTCGCACCGTGGCCAGCGAGGCCCCGCCCACTTTGTCCTGCTGAAAGAGCTTCCTGAACGCATCGCAACACATCGCTGACACCTGTAACACAGACACACCTGAACGCATCACAACCAGCTGGTCTGCAGCGCACAACACAAACATCTGCTGAATCACTAAAATTATTCTCAGCTGTATAACCTCAAAGTAATCAGATTACATCCGAGTAGAACAGCAGAGTATTTCCTCTGATGAACAGTCAGAACCAAACTCTTCATAAAAACTATACTTCAAATTCATGCTCCAANAGTGTGTAGCTGTTGTGTAGCTGTTGTGTACCTGCAGCGTGCAGTAGTTGTGTAGCTGTTGTGTACCTGCAGCGTGCAGTAGTTGTGTAGTAGTTGTGTAGCTGTTGTGTACCTGCAGCGTGTGCAGCTCCCACAGCGCCGTGTTCTGAGCGTTGCAGTGCTCTGGTTGGTCGAGCTCCGGCAGGTAGAAGCCGCTGCCCTGAACCTCGTTGTCCAGCAGGAAGTCGCACTTTGGGAAGGACTGACACACAAACACACAATAAACACTCCAGCAGTCGCTTACCTGGGGATCTACCTGTGTCTACACACTGCGGGCACACAAACACACACTCACATGCATGGCGGCCCTGTTGGCGGCGAGGATCCCCACGCTGGCGTTGGGCAGAACGTGCAGACTGAGCATGCTCAGTCGCTTGACGAACGCCATGGCCCTCTGCAGCGTCACCTGCTTCCTGCGGCGAGTCAGCATGGCGTCCAGGCACCGCAGCAGGATGGCGACATCATCATTAGGCGCCCCTGACAGACACAGCCCCGGTTCAGCGCACCAGCAAAACAGTTCAGAGGTCGTACACAGAAAGTACCAGAGTGTACTACATCCTGTTTGGAGGCGGAGCCTGTGTGAGCTCACCTGCGTGGAGGTGGGGCAACATCTGGTACAGCTGTGAGTAGAAGTTCAGAGGGTCGATGTTCAGGACGTCCCCTGACACATAAACAACAACAACCAGGTCAGCTGACAGGATGTGACATCATGACAGCTCCACGTTTGTCTTTTCAAAATAAAGCGCTCCCTGAAACTTTCAAAATAATGACGGACTTTGTAAAACAACAAAAACTGAATTTATGCTGTTTATGCTCTGACATCGATCGCACAACTTGACTGTTAGATAGGAATGAGTATTTACTCCCCTGAGGTACGTCAGTCCTGATCAGGACCAAGTGTTCCTGCTTCAGGACCCTGAAACCACCTCTGAGTCCCTAAAACCATGCCTGGACCCTAAAACCACGCCTGGACCCTAAAACCACGCCTGGACCCTAAAACCACGCCTGGACCCTGAAACCACATCTGGACCCTAAAACCACATCTGGACCCTGAAACCACGTCTGGACCCTGAAACCACGTCTGGATCCTGAAACCCTGCCCGGAGCTGGACTCACCTTGACCTGACAGGATGGTGAAGACGGTCTGGATGCAGTGGAGACTCTCCTGATTGGTCAGATCCTGCAAAGACCAATCAATCAACCAATCAATCAGTTTGAACTGACAGCTGCTTTTCAGAGGGGGCGGGGTTTTGGTGAATACTCACTCCTGATTGGATGAGGTTCTGCAGCACGTTGAGCAGGTCGTCAAAGAATTCCAAGTTAATGAGGTGAGCGAAGCTGAAACAACAACAAGTTACTACACAGCAGTGTGTGTGTCTGTGTGTGTGTTACTGTGTGTGTGTGCGTGT